AAGCACAAATCTAGGATTGATGGCATCACATCATTTCGACGATAAAGACAATAAGGTTAGTAGTGATTTTCAATTTTTGATAGTGATGCTCAAGGAGCAATTGATGAACTTTTAAGTGAATGCAAAATTCTATATAAAACTATTTCCTCTCAAAAGAAACAAATATCAACTTCAGAAGAAAATATTGAGAAAATGGAAAATAATTTTAAAGATGAAAAAGAAGAATTAATTAAGAATTTGCATGCACTAAATGTGAGTCGCTTTCTTTTCAAATAGTCCAATTAAAAAGGGTCCTAGAAAGATATGAAAAAGGAAAATTGGATTGGAATGTGTTCTTAGTAATCAAAGATAATCAAATGATAAAAGTGGTCTTGGTTACTCAAAATTTTCTAAACAAACTTCTAACAAGACCATCTTTGTCAAAGCTAAAGAACAAATTCCTATGGAAAAAGGTGACAATCATAAAATGATTCATCAATATGACAAAAAGAAAAGAAAAAATAAGAAGAAATCTTATCCCCTTAGATATAAAAGCAAATTTGAGCCTACGTGTTTCTATTGTGGTATAAAAGGTCATACTCCAAATGCATGTTATGTTAGAAATTTTGATGTTGCTTAAGGCCATTATGTATGGGTAAAGAAAGGAAGTAACTTTGAAGGACCCAAGGCAATTTGGGTACCCAATAAAACTTAACTCTTTTTTGTAGGTATGCTTGAAGACCTCTTCAAATCATTGGTATCTTGATCAACAACATTGCATAAACAATAATCAACAAGATCAACATGCTTTCAAACCAAAATCAAACGATTGAACGATCAAACCAATGTGCAACAAAGCGGAATTGAAAACAAATGCAATCATGCGTCACAATACCCAACAACACAATCACCAATGATAATCAAATAACACGATGCAAGCAATCAAGGAATATGATCAATCATCAAGTAAATCACATGAACATGTTGAACATTCAAAACGGAAACCAAAAGTTATGAGTCAAAAAATCGAGATCAAGCATTCAAGAATGGTGAAATATGTCAAAAACAATCCACATAAATGCATCATATCAATCCATGAAGTTTTCATGTGAAAAGGATACCAAACAAGCAAGAAAATTACAAAAACTATGCATTCTGCTCAGTGGTAATCGGTTACCCTAATCAAGTAACCGGTTACCTGCGGTAAAAACAACCTGGACATGAAAATTTATGAGGGTAACCGGTTACCCTATAGTGGTAACCGGTTACCACTGAACAAAAAACAGAATATCAGCTTTTAAAATCAGTTTTCTACATCAAATGGTTTTTCCAATTATCCATATGAACATGATATCAATCAAGAAAGAAATTAACATCAAGAAACAGTAATCAAGCATCATGTAAACACAATCAAGCATTGATATCACCAATCTCAAAAATCAAAATCAACAAAATGGATCAAAGAGCATCAAAAGCCAAGGATTTACATTGTGATTATTGATCAGCATTAAACTCTTCCTGGGGAAGAAGTTCATGAATACTGATATTTCTAAGGAGAGACGTCTAGAACGTCGACTCTGTTTGAGAGCAATACTGAGTTGCAATCCTCCTTGCTGCTGAGGGAAAATCCTTCAACCTTACTTTGTTGGGAATATGCTGAGAGTAAATCCATCCTGCTCGGGATTAGTCTGTATGGGGAGACAGAACTCTGCTCCGCTGAAGATACGTTATACACCCTCGCTGGTGATAACGCTTATGATTCAATAATAGGATTCTGTGGGGAAGACAAAATTTTTGCAGTGGGAAAATAACTACCCTTGCTGAACAAATGTCTGACTGCATTCTACCAGAAGTAGACACCCTTCGAAAAATCTCTAGGTAGTAGGAATCAACTTCGCCTGGGGAATACAACTCCGAACTCTTGCTAGGGGAGGAATAATTCGTCGTGCACTATTGTTAGAACTTCATTACTGGGGAGAGGATCATGCCATCCTGCAACAAACAAGAAACACTAGGATACCCCATGTGTGAAATGGCTACCTCGGTTACCATTCATAACACTTATCGTTCAAGTAAATTCATTGCTTTCATTATGCTCTATAAAGCCTTATGTTTTCACCTATGATGTTCATCAAAAATATCATACGTTTTTTGCAAACAAAACAGTAAAAGTAAAAACAAGAAATGAAAAACTCTTTGACTGAAATGAATACTTTATTGATGAAAGGCCTGTAAATAGGAAATTTACAATTCGGGTGCAATTCCTGAAAAGAGGTAATTGCGCAAAAAGCAAAGAGAAATATGCATAAATGTCGGTAATGTGGAAACAGACAACCACCATGTGTAGATTCAGATATGACATGTATGTCTTCGATGTTCCCTGATGTTTTTCCTTCTAGAAAAGACTGATTGGACTAATTCCTTTCCTTTGAAACAACCATGTGTTGACTAAGTTCATAGATCGAACGCAGACTGCGGCCATTTGCTTTCAAATCCCTAACTTTTGCCTGGATCTCCCTTTCGAGTTTTCAATCCACCGAGATACCCATTTTTGCCAAGGTCGCCTTTTCAGGTTTTCAACCTTGCGGGTTCATTCTTTTTATTTTATCCCTAATTTTTGCCCGAACCTTTTCCTTTTTTGTGGATCGTCGGGATGCCCCATTTTGCCCTAATTGTTATGTTTTGTTGGATTTACTCCATGATATCATGTTATTCATCAACATTGTTGAAAATACCTTTGGTTGCTTTGATTTGTATGTTAAAGAAATTAGGCCTAAAAACATCAAAGTGTAAAACACAAGTAATTAGACAAGGAAGCTAAAGGAAAATAAGAGATTCGTCATGTTCGTTGTGTGAATAGCCAGTGAGGAGTAGCAGTGAATGTTCGCTGGTCGAACTCATGGGGAAGCCTCAACGAACCATTTCAAAATAGAGGCAGTAAGAAAAGGGTAAAAAGTTTGTTGGGTGAACTAGTAGCGAATGTTAGCTGTGGTGAGGTCTCAGCGAAGGACCGGCAAACCATCTCAGGTTTGAGGCAGTAGCTAAAAGACCATAAGTTCACTGTGCAAACTTGTAGCGGGGTAGTTCTTAGTGCAAAGAATTGCTCACACAGCGAGCTTCAGGTATTTCTCAAGGTAGGTTTAACTGTTCAGAGGCACTCCAGGTGCCTAAAAGTGTGTTCGCTAGGCGAAGAAACGGTTTGCAGTGCGAACATGACATATTTCAAAAGTACTATATAAGTACTTTTCACAATTATTGAGGATTATAACCCATTTTTCACACCAAACCTTCATTTGTCAGCATTTCTTCATAAAAATATGATATTTTGCAACTAGAAGTTGGATTCGCATCAGAGTTCGATTCTTCGACGTGGATGTTCATTCATCTTCTTTCAAAACTTGTAAAGCAAGCTACCATGGTTATGGATAACTAATTTCCTTTATATCAAAGGTAGAGGTAGTTTATGATTAGCTTGTATGTATTTCTTTTGATTGCCCTTGTATGTGAACAAGTGATGATTAATATATGATGAATATTTTTGTTCTTAATCTTGTGTTGCAAAACTCTAGACATAGATTCTGTGAAACTTGACCTAAAGTATTCATGTATAGGTTTATAGATTGAAGAAATCGGTCAATGATCGATATGCTTTGTGTTGAACTTAAAACGGTATTTCTCACGACGCCACTCTAGAGATAGACGGTGTTGGGAGAATGCGCGATGATATTAATCAGATCTGACTTTACATGCAAGGTTGAAAGAATACGTATAAGTTAGGGTAGATGAAAAGAAATTTTGATATACTTTGTTAATCAAACTCTTTAAAATTTATAAGCTTTGTTACTAAAAACGTGACAATTTTATGAACAAAACTTTGAAAACCCTTTTTCTTAAAACAATAAACTGTTGAGCGGTAAGTATCAAAATATCTGCAATTCCTGTGGAGACGATAACAAAACCCCCCCATTTATCTACGATGTGAAATGCATGTATGAAGTTTTTTTTGAGATTGTTTTATTTTTCCAAAATCAAATTATATTACAAATAATAAAATAAAACAATCTCAAAAAACTTCATACATACATTTCAAATATTTTAAATAATAAATACAAATCAAAATAGCAAAACATTGATCACATATTTAATGTTCTAAATTATCAAAAATAAACAATAATGTACATAATCAAATGAACGAGACGAGTTTATAGTAAGTACTAGTGTTTTCATTATTCGACTCTTCTCTATATTTTATAATCAAAAAAATCTAAATTTAAACTCAAGTTCAATCAAAACAGATTTTTCCGATCAATTTCAAAACAAATTTAATATAGTATCCACTCATACGAATTACGTTGCCGTACCTACTCATTAGTATTTTTCCATTTTTAAATATCACAATATTTTAGTATCTTTGTTGAACTTATCTAGCACCAAACAATAAGGGAAGGAATCAGCAAAGTATATTCTTTCTATTTTTTGTAAGGAATATTCTTTCTGTTTATGGATAAAAATAGTCACAACAAGTCACAAAAATCCAACAATATAGGATATCTACATTGAATAATAGTAGTCCAAATCATCGTACTTATCTTTTTCTAGTACTTGTACACTACCTCATAATCTCATACCGTTTCTATTATAACCCCATAGTAAATAGTAATAAGAATATTCATTAATTTTCACACTATTTAAATATTAATTAATAAATGAGTAAGGTTAATTTGTGTCTTTAGAAAAGGTTAAAAAATTTACAAATAAAAAAAATATATAAAAAAAATAATAAAATCATTAATCATAAAATTATATTAAATTTATTACACAAATTTCAAAAATTATTCTTTATATTTATTTCTTAACTTATAACTCAAAGATATAAATTAATATTACCCTTAATAAATTAATATTGTCAAATAAATAAAATTAAATAAAAAGCGGAAAGAACTCAAATAAGATGCAGCAATAGTTGTACGCTTAAAAATTTTCATTATTCTAAAAAATAAAACAAAACAGAAAAACTGAGAATGGGGAAGAGGAAGAACGCCGCAAATACAGACGGCGGCGCCACCACGCCGCTTTCACTTCCGCCGTTTCTCCGAACCCTACTATCTTCCCTATTCAGCATCGCCTCTGAAAACTCCTCCTTCTTACCCCCTCTTAGCTTCAAACTACTGCAAACCCTTCGTTTCATAATCCTCACCTTCTACCTTTTTCTCCTTCGTTTCATTCCTTCTATTTTCTTCATCGACAATAACGAAGACACCGTTAAATTCAACAACCATAAGTCTCATACTAATAAACGAAACGACACCGCAATAGGACGCGCTCTTTCTCAGCTTCTCTCTGCGTTAAACGATATTCCGGTCAGTTCAAGAAAATACGAAGTTGTTCGATCGTTAACGGAGAAGATTATCGACGATAATCATCTCGACGGCGTCCATTCGTTGCGGGAAGTTAATCGAGTTGCTTTGTCCGGAGGTTTTGGGAGGGCGTTGAGGCAGTTGGAAAGGAAGGTGGTGGAGAGAGAAGGAGAGGTTGAAGGGGAAGGTGATAGAGATGGAAGACAGTACTATATGGTGATGAAGCGTAGGATATGGTGGGTGGTGAGGATGGTGAGATGGAGGGTGAGAGGAGGAGAGGGAGGTTTGGATGGTGTTCCGGCGGAGAAGTTGGCGGCGGAGTTGGTTTGGATGGTTAAGAAGATGGTGGATTGCGGTTGTGTTGATGAAGCGATTCGGAGATGGGCGGCCGCCTCTAATTTGGGAGTTTTGGCTCTTTCGGCTGACCCTCGTTTACAGACTTCGCTTGTCAAACTTACTGGTACCATATTCATTATTATTTTTTTAATACATATATTTTGTCTCAAAATAGATAATTACCGTAACAAATACATTTTTTTACATATTTATTTATCGTACTATAAGATATTAAAGAAAAGTATACAACAAAGTGACAAAATCATGGGATTAGAATAATTATGGAGAAGGAAAAACCTTGAGAATGTGAACGTAGATATTGAAAATTCTAAGACAAAAATCAGAAAGATGATATGACCATGATTTTTGCAAACATTCTGTCAAAACTATTTGTGGTTGATATGATGGCTTGTAATGCTAAGAGACAACAATGTTATCATCCAAATTGTAGTTCAAACAAGGACACGTGTCTTGTTTTCAATCGTGCAGTTTTAGAAAAGTTACATTGAAATCCTATAACTTTATTTTATATATTAATATTTAATTTATATTAAATTTTACCTTAATTACAAAATGTGAGAGAGAGAGTCTTTGTTGTGTATACAAATAAGATATAGTACATTGTAAAATTTATACATTTTAAATCAATTAGAATAGAATAATTGACAGAGAATCGAAGAGTGTAGAATAAAATATTTTTCTATGAGTTCACATATGATTTCTAACACCTGCTTTGAATTTTCATCAGCATTCCTATTCAAAGAAGCCAGAGACTTTGGCATAGACGAAATCGAGGAAAGCAAGATGAAGCAATGCATGCAGGTAAAGCTAAAGATGTTACAGACATGGCTTCCATTGTTGTGCAGGGCTAGTAATGGCGCCGACGCCCCATCATTGAGCATCACTGAGAGGGCTGAGTTAGAGAGCGTGTTGGAAAGCATTATAGAGGCGTTAGAACAAGAGAAGCAAGAACAGGTTCTTTCTCTTTGGCTCCATCATTTTACACATTGCTCGTCCTCTGATTGGCCGAATCTCCATTCATGTTATGCGCGTTGGTGCTGCAAATCTCGCAAGCAGTTGTTGCTTTCGAATGAAAATTGATGTGTTTATACACTTTGCTTTTCATGTAGAACCAGTTATAGTTATTTTACTTCAGCTCTAGTAGTTTTCAATAGTTCCATGCCACTTAAGAGTCTTGATTAATGATGTAAAAATTAAACATAAATAGATGATAATGTAATTCATGATATGTAAGAGAAAATGATTATTCATAAGTGCATCAGATGTGGCGGCGGTAACCGTCGATAGCAATTATTGAGCAGAGCTAGCTGTCATATCATATGGGCTACTCTCTTTCAGTGTGCTATTTTGGCACAGTGAGGTAGTATTATTACAGTACTTCCCATGTTTGAAGCCAAACATCTACAAAATTACAACAAACCTTTATTTTCCTTTCCCAAATTGACACTATTTGATTTTCTACCGACATCGCCGGTTATTCTTATTCATTTTATTATTCAATGCCACTTCCGATTATGTGTCGCATCATATTGCAATAGTCTTCGAATAAATATCGAACTTCTCAGAAGATGACAGTTGTGGATCCTGCAAACAAAATTCATTGTGAATCAGTTTCTTATAGGTTATTATTATTATTATTATTATTATTATTATTATTATTATTATTATAGTGATAATATCAATATGTTTGTTTGTATGAGAACTAGTGTAATACATGAGCATACTGCTGCCGGTTGTCCATGACATTCTGTTGCTGATTCGGGCCAAACATTCCTTCTCTAGCGCCACGGATCGAAGAACGCATGGAATTAAGCAATTGACCGTAAGTCAGTTTACGTTCAACTTGCATGGCTTGGATGAAACTGTAAGTTAATGCACCAGCACTTTCCATGCCGCTGAAGGCCTAAAATAATCCGATCAGAGGAAAATTATATTCTCTGATTCACATAAATCAGAAGTCGAGAAAAAAGATGCAGCGTTATTACTACTAACCGATGTGTCTGCTGCACTTCCATCATCGTCACAAGCGGAAATGCAAACTGCTAGCCCGCCTCTGGTTCCTTTGTAACCAGCTCTGTGGCTTCTATGATCTTCCCATCCATAGTAACCTTTTCTGTTTTATTTACTCCAAAGAAAAATCACATTAGGTTTATTATGGTTCATTTATTTTGAGTTAACTTTTTACGTCCTGTTTTAACTTTTAATTACATCTTTGATTCTTAACTAACCTGTTCATCCTGCACATGAATGGTAAATCAAGAACTGTTCCGCTAAAGCATGTATCGGTGACAGCATGAAGTTTGGCACCATAAGGTAAAGGCCTAACAATTGTAGCATTGATTTCGTCGTCAAGAATCTTCCCTTCGCGCTCATAATCAACAGGGCATATAGCTTCGTCATAGCCATCAACCTCATCCATGCCGTGGTCCACTTGTCTTGATCCATGTCCTGAGAAGTGAAGCACCAATGAGTCCCCTGCTTGGCAGCCTTCAACCAACCACTTCATTGCCATTCGCATGTTATATTTTGTTGGGATTCTGGTCGGGTTTCTCTCCCCAGGTTCATCTGCAGGTCATTTTTCAATGTTATTGTATAAAATTATAGATAGAAATATGATAGAATGAAAGGTTAATCGGCTAGCTAGTTTGTAGTAGCACCTGTGAACATGCGAACGCAATCGGTAGGAAAACCTAACTTTTGAGTGAGAAAGTACTTCATGCTGTGAACATCATTGAGAGAACCTTTAAGGCTGTTAGCACTATTACCATAGCTAATGCCAAATAACACAGCCCTCTTGTTACCATATGGAGAAGGAGGTGTCATTGAAACTTGTGGGCCCATCAGTGTATGTGGCCAAGACGGACGTCGCCCATAGGCGGCCGGAGGAGGTGAGTTGTTGTTGTTGTTATTGACAAAAGGGTAATTAGGTTGCTGGGAGAAACCTTGAGAGTGGCAACCAGAACACATCATGGCCATGGAATTGGCATAGCTATAGGCTTCTACTTGTATAGCCCTTCCACACTGACTGCATCTTCCTCTTCTGGTTGCCATCTTTTGGGGAATGTTTTGTTTGATAAATGATTAGTCAAGAAGGAAAATAAACTGAGAAATGTGTTGGTGATGAGATTGAGTTGCAGGCGTGACCCTTAAATCGAGTGTGTTGGAACCTTTTTTGGATTAAATATTATGAACATACTGAATCACATTCTATTTGTCTTTCTTGGTGGACAAGGAATATATCAAAACCAACGGTCACTAACAAAATTTTCAGAATATACATCTTTTCTTTTTGATAAAAATTCAGAAAATGCTTCTATTGCATATTCTTCTCTGATTGATTGCTTCTTTTTTTTATATTTTTTTATAAAGTCCCTAATTGATTGCTGAGATGAAGATGACATAATGATTACATTTGAGGGTAGATTTTTTATAATATGGTTCAGTATTAAAGATCATTAGTTACAAATAACAATAGTTAGTTTTTTTTATGATTATAAACTGATATAAACCAAGTTTATATTTTTTAGGCGGCCTATCGTTGCCCAATATTAAACACCAATAGATCGGCCCACTCTCAGGCTCAAGCCTTACTGTCGTATTGAGAGTGTCTTCCAAGCTAACATCGTCAACGGCCAACTGAAAACAGTTAGGCCGTTAGAGGTCATTACTGTCTCATCAGAGATAAACGAAAACGGTTTCTCAGTTAGAAGCTCACAACTCGACTTGAGTATTAAATTGTTTGTCGATACACCGCGCACTGCTTTATGTTTGCTGCTGTTATTTGCTGTCACTAGCATTGCAGATAATCTTCTTTTGTAGGATGGTCTGGGCTTAAAGGCTTAGGCCAAAACCAAGCATGCTATTTGATTTAATGAATCAAAATGCTAACTAATGAGTGCCTTAAGGGCGTTGTGTGTAAAACAAAAAGATTTTATGGAACATTGTGAATTCATTGTTAGGAATTGAAATAATTAACTTTTTTTAATAAATAATTTTGATTTATTTAAAATTCTTAAACAATGCTCTTAGGACACTCATTAACTAGACTATAATTATTAAGCTCTTGCATATCCTCTATTGACTCTCTAGTTACATGCTCTAAACAAATTTTACTATAACCGATCTATATATAGACAAGAGACATTAATTATTCAATGTATTTAAAAAAATAAAATTAATTTATAATATGAAACGGAGGGAGTATTTGGATCATTTTTGCAGTTGAATTTGTTGAATTTGAAAACATTGAAGGTTCATGCATTGTTATATTTAGAGAACTTTACCTCATGTTACCTCTAAATCAATAAAATATCTTTTTAAATTTTAAAAAAAATGGTATTTGTTAAAATATTTGATTCAAAATACTGAAATTTTACAAATAATTCCTGTTTACAAGTTAATTTTGAATTTTTATTGAATATTTTTCTAAAATATCGGGTTCGGCTTAATTGCAATTTTGATTTCTTTATTTTTAATTTTTTTGAGTTTTGATCTTCCTATTTTAAAATCTAGAATTTTTGCCCCTCTATTTTAAGTTTTGATCACCCTATTTTAAAATCCAAAACTTTTGTGTCTCCATTTTAATTTTTTTTAGTTTTGGTCCCCTTATTTTCATTTTCTTAAACTTTCGGTTTCCTATTAAATTTAATCCAAATTGAAAAGGGAGACCAAAATCCAAAACAAAATTTAAAATAGGGGACCAAAACTAAAAAAAATGAAAATAGAGGGACAAAAAGTTTAGATTTTAAAATAGGAAGACCAAAACACAAAAGAACTAAAAATAGAGGGACAAAAATTTCAAATTTTAAAAGAGGAGAATCAAAATTCAAAATAAATAAAAACGGAGGGACAAAAATTACAATTAAGTCATCGAATTTTTCTAATAATTCATGAAGTTTGATTAAATTTTCAAAAATTTCGACACCAAAATTATGAGGTTATTCTGGATTTTTAGAAAAATCCAAATAACCTCATTGTTTGAATACTTTTTTATTTCATTTTTCAAAAATTTGGTATAGAAGTATGGAGGTCTACCAGATTATTAAAAAATCCAGTAAGATTTTCAATTGAGTTATCGGATATATTTGGATTTTTTATATCTAATAGTTAATAGGGTGTTTTTTTTTAAATTATTTTTTGACATTATTAACATCATAATACTATAGTGTAAACATAACTTAAATATCTTAACATAGCTTAATATAACTTAACATAACTGACATGACATACAAAAGTGTCAGAACAATCACAATCCGACAAAATATATACATATAATTACAAATACAACAATATCAATACAAAATAAATTATGTTGACTTCTTGATTTTTTTCTTCCCAATGTCTTATGCATTTCTTAATATAACTTAGCATATGTTGTTTCACATACTCTTGCACTTTCACTACAATTCTGTCTCCAACAGTCAATGATGGGAGCAATGAATAGATTTCAACTTTACCTGAACCAAATGATTGTTGTTAACAAAATCAACTGCAATTATTTTATGTCTACTTGTAGACATAGATGGAGAAACCACAAGCGAAAAGAAAGTGATATTAAAATTATTGGACAACAAGATCAATATCACATTATATCTAGAAACAGTAGGATAACCCATATCAGAAATCGTCATCATCAATTTCTCATGATCTTGAACTCCTAAGTTAGATATTCGCAATGAATTCTTAACTTCTGAGGTTGTGTCAAAGAACACATTGGAAAAATCTTCGGATTACACCTAATTGCAGCTTCAATATGGCGTTTACAACATCCCAACATCTGCACAAATCTCTTTGACTAGTACTCACCGTGTTTTCGAGTCTCTAATGAGAAAACTCAATGTTATAAAACATATTATAGAGAAATATGTAACCAATAAATTGATAAATAATTGTGTTCAGAATAAATCAGTAATAACATTTGATTCCTCCTTGTTTCTAGTTCAACACATGTATTTTTATTATGAATTAGTTTCAACAAATGTTGTATTTCTGTAAATGGACATCTGATGGTAGACGTGTATGTAGATCTTGTCTTATAGACATGTGTTGTACTCGTCAGGTTATCAAGATCTCCATCTTTCAAAACGGTCACTATGTAACTCAACAACATGCGTTATTTTGTCATATCATTCACAAACAATCGTTCTTCGAGTTTCAGACGATCTAATATGTCATAACCCACGAAATCATTAAGTAGACCATGGTTGTGAATATCACATTTAAGTGTTGCCTTCCAACCAATTGTGCTTGTCATATGTCTCAACATAAATTGACATTTAACTTTTCTACTATAAGTGACTTGAGAGGAGTTCTAGTTCTTATAGTTTCATTCCATCTCACAATCCATGATCAATTTTTCTTTCCTCCTTCTTTTCCCATTTGTTGTATTAGAACGAACAATAACAATAACAATATCATGTTGTCTTCCAATAGATTGTGCCTATGATAACACATTTGTTCGAAAGGGAAATGTCTATCAATTAAAATATATAATAAATGAATTAGTCGTAAATAACATAACTCGATATTTCAAGAGTTCACATAAAACATTTAAGTAAAACATTCAAAGTCAGTGGTGAAGAACTGGGTAAACTATGTAGAAAAACAATTCACTCTATGGGCGCATAAGGAGAGCATGCTAAATTGAACTACTGGATTTTTTAGGGGTGGGATAAAATTCCAGTATACTAGATTTTTAAATCTGGTATATCGAATTTTCAAAATATTTTAAAAAATAGCGAAATGTATTGGATTTATTTTAAAATTTTGATAAAAACTCACACTGATTTTTTAAAAATCTGGTAAAAAATCATATCAGTTTTTAAAAATTCGATAAAAATGCAAATTTTTTGTCTGGATCAGTAAAGATCTACCAAAAATTTTAAATAGACTACCAATTTTTTTTACTATTTCTTTGACAACGAATTTTTTTTATCAAACTATAACTTTTTGATAGGATAAATAATAACACAAGTGATTTTGTCATATTTAAAAGAGAAAATGGGACATGCACTGGCAGTGTAAAATAACTTTATATTGTTAATCAATCACCATCATCTATCCCACCACATCAGACTGTGATTTTTAAGTTGTGGTATTTTGGATTAAACTCTAGTCTCAACAAGGATAACTTTATGTTTCGATAGAGTTGTGTATGTTGTAGCCGAAATTTGTTCAAACATGCATGATTCGATGATGTGCGTATTATAGTCAAAGCATGTTCTAGCATGTGTCATGTGAGGGAAAGTTGTCTCAATATTTGTTTTAATGATGTCAAAACATATCTAGTTAGTAATTTGTACTTTGGACGGTATCATCGAGTCGCATATGCATTCGTTGTTCTCTCGTGTCAAGCATTTATCAAAAACATGTGTTTGTTCATATAGAAAAGCATTATATGTGTTTTATGTGAGTTTGATCATGTTGGTTGACTTAGATATGTATTAGAAGCACTTAGAAATAGCAAGTCATATCAAATCAGCATTTTTGTAAGTTTTGAGTCTTTGAGTCGACTCAAAGTCTGCTTAGGTCGACTCATACAGAGTGAACTTTTGTGATTTGCTCTCAGGAGAGCTCGCGTCAACTCTCATGTCGACTCATATTGTTTGTATTTCTATTTGTCAAAACTGGATTGTTTTGCGTCGACACATGGACACGTTCCGGTTGATGCAAAGAGATATTTTCTGCATAATTTTGTAATCGGGAGAGATCAAGTCGACCCCCTTATTCTTTAGGTTGATCGTTCACTCATTTCACACTATTTTTCTGTTAAATTTGTCTTTCAAAATGTCTGTTATGTTGGTTATTTGGTCCAAGCTTCACATATATATTTTTTAGCTCATTCTTCACACAACAACAAGAAAAGTGAAAATAGACACTGACTTTGCTCTCATCATCTTCATCCTCTTTCTTGCATTTTCTCAACAAATACACGTAATCATTTTTGTTGTGCATTATGCATCATTGAGGTGATAACATCCAAACATAGGATCATTGTATCGGGTTTGGATTGAGAGATCAGTGGGTTTTTCTTGAATAAAACCGTTAGGGTTTTGTCCTCCAAGAATCTTGGATTTTGGAGGTTTTGCACAAATCGTTCCTTCACAGATTCAGCCGAGCAAAGATAATTGAAGAACGGAAGGTTCTGTCAATTTAGTAGCTTTAACTGGAGGATTGTGGAAGGAAGGTTTAGGTTCGAATTATGGGTATTTAAAATCAGTCGGGCAAAGATTTGAAGACCGTTGGGTGGTTCAAATGTGGTGTCGTAATCGGAGATTTACTCATCACATTCGAAGGACTTGATTCATCTTGAATCAAGGGAAAAGAAGGCATAGGTTCAGCATCAACGATTAGGATTGAGTGTTTAATTTCTACTGCTTCTCTTATAAAAACAATTTGCAATAGGTTCTATATACAGGTCTCAATTCTAATTTTAGAATTGAGGGCAGACGTACCCCAAGCGAGGACGGCGGGGGAACTGCCTCAACAAATTGGTGTTGTTCTCTCTTTTTGTTATTTTCCTTCACGAGTCATTCTTAGAGAATCAAAAATAGACTTGGCAGTATCTCTATTTGTTATCTTCTTATACTCAGTATAAGAGATAGTATTTAGCAATATAGTTCTTGCCTTGTGATGATTCTTGTAATCTTTCTTTTGTTGGTTTATTGTAGCACTTTTTGATACTTTTAATCCTTTAGCATCAATTGGGTGAGTATAGCCATCAACAATAAGGTCTCAAAGATTTACATCATAACCAAGAAAGAAACTTTCAATTCTATCTTTCCAGTAGTCAAACTTTTCACCATCAAATACTGGTGGTTTGGCACTGTAGTGATCTTTCTCATCTGGAATAGGATTAGCATTAGCTGCAGCCATGATATCTCACACAAATACTGGATTGATACTGAACACGGTGAAGTGTTGATAAAACTTTTATCACAATCAGAATCGGAGCTCTGATGCTAATTGAAGGTGTGAGAAAACACAAGAAAGTGGGGTTTGAATTGGGTTTTCAAAAATGAAAGCTTTTTGTGAAACTCAAACAAAGATCACAAATAAACTAACAAGAGAGAAAGACAGACGATATATCTTGATTCACTTTAAAACTATCAATCTAATCCAGTCCATCCGCCAAGGTGATTTCGTCTTATACACAAGGACTTAATCCACTATAATCAACTTATTACACTGCACTAGCACCCGCTGGTGACTAACAACATAAAAAATTATCTCTTCTTAATGATTCTGACCCAACTGATTCCTTAAGGAATTACAATCTGCACTAGCAACCGATGATGACTAACAACAAAGAGTAATTGTCTCTTCTTAAGGATTCTGACCTAACTGGTCCCTTAAGGATTTACAAACAACAATTTGAACAAAAATGTTTACAATGAATTGCTTATACACAAGCAGATATAAAACCGTTAATAGCTCTAATGACTTAAAGAAACTTTCACAGTATAAACAATGGTCTTTCTTTGTATTGTGGTGCTTCAATACTGTTGTTTTAGTTATTCATAAACCATTCATTCTTCTTTGATAATCGTTGTACTATCGTTATATCAATCATTGTATCACGCTCTTTTTCTCTTCAAGTCATCAAGTTCTTATATAGCCAGAAAAATATCCGTTGGAGGGCAAATCAGGAATATCCTTTTAGATAGCTGGCAACTTGAAATAATATCGTTACGCAGGGATGAAAATCATACACAAAAGTTATCCTTTGTACCACCAAATCAGGATAGTGAAATGGAAGTGAAATGGAAAGTTGAAACATACAATGTACTATTTTACCTCGTAAACATTTGAGCTTATCTTCTGTACATCAAAGGCTTCTGAATAGAAATGATTGAAGCATGAGTAAAAGAGTTGATCAGTGGGTCTTCAGAGTCATGAGTCTTCAGAGTCTTCAAAACTTGTTCACCAAAACCTTGTCTTCAGAACTTTAAACACTCAGTCTTCAAAATCCTTTGTCATTAGTAACTTAAGTCTTCAGAACGTCGTTCAGCAGAACTTTGTCTTCAGAGTCTTCAGTACTTAATCTTCAAAAACTCAAGTCTTCAGAGTCTTTCAGAACTTTGTTCAGTAGAACCTTGTCTTTAGAGTCTTCAACACTTAGTCTTCAAAAGATAATGACTTCAGTCGCTAGAAATCCTTCAGAAGTAAAATATCAAAGTCATGCTCAAAGGTGTAAACCAAGAGAACATTGCAGCAACAACATATTGTCTTCTCAGAAACTTTCTGAATGTGAGTAGATCAGAAGCAGAATTGCTTCTTATAGCGCAGAAGTGACTTTGGTCAAATCAAAGTGACATTGCACATGGTCTCTATCAGAGTCAGAATCTGTTTGTTAATTCTTCAGAAGAATACACGTTAGAGTACCAAGATTGTTCTCACGCAAATACTACTTTGTTATTATCACAACTTAGAGATATCTGAAAGAACCAAATCTTATTCTAACAGATATTGTATTATGTAGTTGTAGTTGTAGAGGCTAATGAAAATTGAGCCGTTTTTATTTCCTGAAAGGCTCGGGTGAATTATTTATTAATGATTTTTCTTCGTATTTTCCTTCATCACCATCCTTTAATCCATGATTAGCAGATATAATAGACTGCAATTCCACACTAACCAACTCTTGTTTTGTGTTAGTGTACATAGCAATATCATTATCTTGCTTTTGCTGATAAATGTTATTCAACATCGTGTTTTTCATTCTAGTTTTTTTAAGGACTTGAATGATACCTTGATATAGTGAATGTGAAACCGGGCTGAAGTAAAATTATTCTTAAACTGCGCCTGTTTGGCAACCAAAGACAATGAAGGAAGAAGAATCTTTCAATTGTGTCTAAGGTAAGATTTAAGCAAGTCTTTCAATAATGATCACTTATCATGAGGGAATAGATGCTACAACCTTCTTTATTCTCTACTCGGTTAAAGAGAAAGAAAACTATATTCTTTGTATGCAACTTGAAATTGGATATCATGGCAATTTTTGATTCCTAATCATATGGTAGGATATGAGATAGAGAGGAATCTGGTATGAAAAATGCCATGTTGTGTAGATGTGTTTGTAATCCTATTGTAGACAATTGAAAGAGTTTAAGATGAATTGCCAAACACTCATGAAAAAAAAAACTTGTACACAGGATTTTAATTATTCGTTCAATGTGGTTACAAAAGTTAATTTTTTATCTTGTAAAATTTACTAAAGAACCTCTATTGTTGTTAGATCTAGGAGTGACAAAATGGATGAATTTGATGGATATGAATTGGATTATTAATTGATGGATCAAAACAATCTATTAATCCATTAACCATCCACTAAAAGTTACTTTAAAAAATCCAATTCAATCCATCTATTAAAAGATATAATTCATTCAATTCATCCATTAACAATTTTTTAGTGGATGGATATTCATCCGTCCAAAAAAAATTTAACTAATTATATTATTTTTTATATTTTATTTTATTTTTTAAATTTTCCAAAAAAAAATGTTTTTCTTTTAAATCTATTTTTCTTAAATAAAATTATTTTATAGCAATTTTTTAATTTTAAAAATATAGTTTTTGAAAATATCTCTCCCGTCTCTCTCCTCCATACTATCAACTGAATTGATGAATTTCTCTACTAGTAAGTAGAGATGTAAATGGATATCTATGGGAATGGATACTATTATATTTGTATCCGCCTCATTGGATAAATACGATATCCATATTCGCTCCACATCCATGCGAGTATCTGTTAAGCAAGTAATTCGCGAGTTTTACAATATCCGCGGATATTTACAGATATCCATGGATAATATATTATTTATAAAAATTATTTTTTGGAAAAAAATATTTTTAACTTCTTTTAAAGATACAAAAAGTTATTACCACATAACATTCATACATTTCGCTCTTAATTTAACAATAAGATTTTATCACATTGATTTTTTTCTTATTCAACAAAACATAATTAGATCCAAACATAATATTCATACATTTCATTTTTAACCAAACAAATAAAAGATATTGTGATTGTGAGTTATGATGAAAGAGTGGACCTGCGAAGAAATATGAAGGGAGACACTGATTCGACAGAGGAATGACGACACGTTGGTTGAAATGTGAAATTGTTGAAGTGATGTATGGAGTATTGAAGAGTTTAAATATGAAATGCCTAATAGAATTTGAATGAAATTTAAAAGGTTTTTTTCAAAGAAAATTTCAATATATATATATATATATATATATATATATATATATATATATATATATATATATATATATATATATATATATATATATATATATATATATATATATATATATATATATATAAAGACTAATTTTTTTTAAAAGATAAAAAGATAACGTATAATAAACTAATGATTTTTATAATTTATTAACGGATATGAATATCTCCAAGCACAGATATTATTAAACTTATATCCATATTCATTAATAAACAAATATTTAAATATATATTTATTTTATCGGTAAATATCCATTAAATCATCCGCTTTATATATGTGACAAATTTTGTTGGTAAATATCCATTAAATCATCGGCTTTACTCAATTTTAAAAATTAAACTAAACGCATATATTAATTTATTGCATAATTACACGTGCATGTCAATAATAAAACGTGTATCAGAACAAATTAATCATAAAATAGGTGAAAACATTAAAAATTAAAAAGGCAGTAGCATATAAATTTACATTTATTAAAAGAAATGTGACACCAAAAAGCATTTCACACCCACACCATACAACATAATTTGTGACTGTTAAAGAAAATGAGCAAGCTGAATGAGTATTATCAAGACCTTTTTTAATATAATAATATTTAATATAAATTAATTTCAAAATGTATTCTTATTCATTATAAAATATATTAACTTTTTAGTTGATAGATTGGATGAATTTTTAACTGATAGATTGGATGGATAATTGTTGGATCTAATTGTGACCCTCCCATGAGAACGACGATGAAAAACGAAGTAGACGCATTCTTAAAGAAACTTTCATACGGCGCCATAGCCATAGCTTCACTAACACTCTTCTCTCTCTTCCTCCGAACCCCAGACACCTGCGTCCCCCCAGAAGCCCCACCCAAGCCCCACCTCCGCTTCCCCAAATCCTCCTGCGACTTCTCCTCCACCCGCCCTCACCTCTCCTCCGACAAGAAAAACGACCGTCTCTGGTCCTCCCGCGACTGGAACAACAAACTCCACTCCATCTCCCTCATCTTCCTCCCAATTCGCGATCTAGGTCTTCTCCCTAACCACTCCAAAATCCTCTGCATATCCGCCGGTGCCGGTCACGAAGTGGCCGCGTTACAGCGACTCGGTGTCGATGATGTTACCGGAGTTGAGCTTTTTGACTCTCAGCCTCTCGTGAGCCGTGCTGATCCGCATAATTTGCCGTTCTTTGACGGTGCTTTTGATTTTGGATTCACTGCGAGGTTTGACGAGGCGCTGTTTCCGGCGAGATTCGCGGCTGAGATGGAGCGGGTCGTTAGGCCTGGTGGTGTTTGTTTTGTTCTTGTTGGGGAGTGTGGGTCCCATGAGGTTAGAGATGTTGTTCGTTTGTTTAGGAATTCTAGGTTTGTTACTTCTAGTAATGTTACTTTTATTGGAATTAGAATGACAAGTATTCTTTTGAGAACTAGAAAATCTTCTTAATTCATGCTTACATTCATTTTTCTAGTTTGAAAATGTTATTATATTGATCGGTTTTATATCTATGATTACATTTTATTTATTCATTTTTTTCAAAATTGTGGTGGCACAAAGGATTCCAACCTGAAAATACGAACAACATGAAATAATCATTCACTTGCATGAAATCTTGAAATAAATGAAATGTGTATTCCCGTATTAAATTTTAATTTTAGAATAAAATCGAGCTTGAACACAAGCAGACATGTGTGAAATGACGTTAGTAGTGATAAAATATTTGTATTTGCATGAGATATAACATGTGATATTCTCCATATATCACTATGAATCATATTAAAAGGTTGATTTATATTTGATTGATGAATCAGAAATGATAGAATTTTATTTTTACCAAGTTTACAAGAATTGCAATCGAATTGAACAAGAGAGGGAGAATATTTATTACCAAGAACACCAGATCTCAGTCTACATATAAGTTTGAGTGACGAAGACACTTATGCCATATTTGAAAAATCAACAGTAACAGAATTATAAGAAACTCAATGTAACAAAGAACATGAAGACAAAGATAAATAGAGAGGAAAACGGAGTCCAACTTTAGGCCCCTTCGTGCTTAAAGTATCAACAGTGTTGATCATATAATTGGATGCCCCCAAGTCAAGATACCAAGGAGAATAGAGAGGAAAGGGTTTATCTAAAATTCCTAAAGCAGAAAAAGCTGATGTTATCATTTATTGAACCATTTCAAGAGTTGACATTGGTGGAAGTAATCTGATCCATACACACAGTAGCACAAGAAGATCCAACAAAGACAATATATGCGGGTACACTTTTCTTTGGTAGTCTTATAGGGCATTCTTTAACAATGTGAACATTTTTTGCAGTAGTTACAAAAACTTTTAGGACAGTGTGAAGCAAAATGTCCAAGTCTTTTGCAGCAGAATCATTGGAGAGAACTCATATCCCGTTCTCTAGGCTATCCTTGTACAACACATGCAACTGGAATAGAAGAAGATTTATGTTGTTCCATGGTTGTTTGAGTTAGGAGGTGTTGTTCTATGTGAATAAGCTCGTAAAAGCATGCATAGCTTTACTCATGAGATTGGATCAGATACCTTCAAAATCATATGTCAATGTCATAAGAAATTGATGTCTTTGATTAGTTTCATGAACTTTTCACACTACAAATTGATATGTAGCTGACAAATCTTCATAGATAATGTCAGTGTCTTCAGCACAAAGATTGATGTAATGAGAATAAAATTCAGAAATTGCGAGATTATCATGTTGAAATATGAAAGTGTCGTGTTTTAGTTAGAATCTGCGAGCTGTGTTATTTTGCCAGTATACTTTCTTTAGATAGGCCCGCATCTTTGTTGCAGTTTTAAATGGCCTAAGATTGAGAGCAATGGTAGGGTCAGCAGAGCCTATGATCCATATCATGACTTGAGCATCTTTGAATACCAACTTGGCATGTTTGTCCTTCTGTTTCTCTTTGTCAAGAGTAGGCTTGTTGCTGTCAACAAGACCCTTAAAGTCCTTACCAGTGACAAATATATGAAACTGAAATGCCAAGGCTGAGTAGTTCTTGTCATTCAACAAGGTGAAACAAGATATCATAACATGAAATAAATCATAAACACATAAATAAAAGAGAGTAAGTATTATCAGGAATGTCTTAATGTACATCAATGTTTAGTTTAGGAACAACTAGTGGTTGGACAGAACAAATGAGTAGGTACAGAAAAGTACTTCCCTTATTCTTAACTGGACATTAGTCTTTTTCTATCAACAGGACTAACCTCACCAATTCCTACACCCATTTTCTTCATCAGGGATGTAATTTATGTGTCATATTAGAAATATCTTGGTAGAAACATCAAACTTCTCAGAAGACGAAAGCTGCGCCTCCTGCAAATAAAAAAATACATTTAGAATCAACTTCAGGTAAATCGATGAGAGTTTTGGCCTTGTATATAACTGATACATTACATGAGCATACTGTTGTTGCCAAGTGTTTTCGGCAAGATCTTGGCCTTTTAGTTCATACTTTCCTGCTTTAGCCCAATGGATTGTAAAGAACATCGCATTGAGCAATCGTCCATATGTCAGTTTCGGTACATCTTGCATGACTTGGAGGAAACTGTAAGTCAAAGCCTAATCAACCATAAAAAGTTTTTGTTTTCAGTAATCATTAGAATAGGAAAAAAGAGTGATGCATAATCAGGGTCGTTTTGAGGGTGTTTAAGGTGGACTATCGGACAAGACCTTAAATTTGTTAAGATTAAACCAGCTACTACTAACCGATTTGCTGGCTGCATTTCCATCATCCTCGCACGCTGAAATACAAACTGCTAGCCCTCCTCTTGTACCTTTGTAGCCAGCTCTCCGGTGTCTTTGATCTTTCCATCCAAAAGAACCAAACCTGCATCAACCCAACGAAGTCTATTGAATCAGGAAATCTTAAACTAAATATCAATATTTTGTAACTAACTGACTAACCAGTTTGTCTTGCACATGAATGATAAGTCGAGAACTGTCCCGCTAAAGGATGCATCAACAAGGGCATGAAGTTTGGCACCATGAGGTAGAGGCCTAACAATCGTAGCATTGATTTCGTCGTCGAGTATCATCCCCTCGTGCTCATAATCAGCAGGACATATCGCTTCATCATACCCATCAGCCTCATCTCGGTTACGATCTCTAACCCTTGATCCGTGTCCGCAGAAGTAAAACACCAACGAGTCTCCTGGTTTGCAGCCCTCGACCAACCACTTCATCGCCACTCGCATGTTACTTTTTGTCGGGATCGTGTTTTTCTCCTCCGAATCATCTGCAGGTTATTTATAAATGGTGTTAACGTTAAATATATAAATATGCATTAGTACTAAAATGTAACAAAAGTTGAACAAAAAGTACCTGTGAGCATGCAAATGGAATTGCTCGGAAATCCCAACTTGTCAATCAGAAACTGTTTCATGCACTTAGCATTGTTTGCAGAACCTCTAAGCTTCTTCGGTGCCGCTGTGTTAGCATAACTGATTCCAAATAACACAGCCCTCTTGTTACCAAATACAGAAGGAGGCCTCGAAGGAGGATAACAGGGACGAACCGGTGTTCCATAGGTAGTAGTAGCAGGATATTGTATTCTGTAATTGTAGTTATAGAGGCTAATGAAAATTGAGCCGTTTCCATTTCCTGAAAAGCTCCCAGGTGAATTATTTATCAAAGATTTTTCTTCGTATTTTACTTCATCGCTGTCCTTTAATCCGTGATTAGCGGATATAATAGACTGCAATTCCACACTAACCAACTCTTGTTTTGTGTTAGTGTACATAGCAATATCATTATCTTGCTTTTGCTGATATATGCTATTCAACCTCGCGTTTTTCATTCTAGTTTTTTCAAGGACCTGAATGATACCTTGATATAGTGAATGTGAAACCGAGCTGAAGTAAAACTGTTCTTAAACCGCACCTGTTTCGCAGCCAAAGACAGTGAAGGAAGGAGAATCTTTCAATTGCGTCTAAGGTAAGACTTAAGCAAGTCTTTCAATAATGATCACTTATCATGAGGAACTAGATGTTGCAACCTTCTTTATTCTCTATTCAGTTAAAGGGAAGGAAGACTATATTCTTTGTATGCAACTTGAAATTGAAAATCATGGCAAATTTTGATTCCTAATCATATGGCAGGATATGAGATAGAGAAGAATCTGGTGTGAAAAATGTCATGTTGTGTAGATGTGATTGTGTCATACTGTATTCTTCATTTCTTCTTTTTCAACTTCTCACTCACCTTTATCACTGATATCAATGGATGAGATTTTATTATAGCTTTTCATGCTATTCGAAATTGAAATTATATACTTTCAATCTAATATTTACTAATTGATAATGTTAAAAAAACTTTTCTTTTTTAAAAAAAATCGAGTAGATCCTAGAGACATCATTGTTCATTCTAATGAATCCAACTAGGTCGGCACCGGAAAAAGAAAAACACAGAGCCTTTTTCCACTAAGAGAAATCGGCTACACGGATCAACTTTTGCTATAATATTCTATTCAGAATTTTTCACTCATCCAGTCAGCGATGGAGTGACCTTTACTCTTTTGACAATGTACTTGAATCATACAACATGTTGCTTACGTGCAACGACCTAGAATTCATATTATTTCGTAGTTGATTTATGTGATTGAGATTCAGAAAAGTTTCACGTTGGTTGTCGGCTGCCTAACACAATCCTTTTATTCGAGTTTGGGATCGGCTATGCATAGCAAAGATGACGAGACATGCAATATTTCTAAGTTTGATATAGAGCTTAAACCGCCTAACTTTAAAACCAACTTCAACATAATAGATTGCACCATCAAAGTTAAAACAATTGTGATGAGTGAAACATCCCATGAAAGAAGTCAGAGTCTCTGACAACGCAACCGCTTGCTTGCACTCCAAGATTTCCTCTTGCAGCGCCGTCTGAATTGCATTTGAGCCATGATCATTGAATCTTATTTACATATTCATTCTTGATCAATTCCTATTTACATGATTGCAGCTATTCTTGTAGTTTTAGTTGAAACATATATATACATGATTTCTGGAATTGCAAAGAGTGTTTGAATCGGTTTATATGCGATTGAAAAGAGGTTTTTTAACTTGAATATTCCAAAGAGTATTCTAGATTTCTCTTCAAATCAAATCAAAAGTTACTTGTTGTGAAAATGCATTTCGAAACAACTTCATGTATATTATGGCATGTTGTAGAAAAATACACTGTATTATAAATCAATTATATTGATAAGAATTTTGTATAACAATGTAATATGGGAACTGATATATAGTGCTTCCATTCCAAGTGTCCCTAGTAAGCTTTTGGCTTTTCGGTTCGAACTTCAAACTTCTGCGGTTTAGCCTAATGAGTTGCAGAGTGCATCTCATTGAACAAATGGTTATCAGGCCTTTGTTTTATTCCGGCGTAATTGCTCAAAGTGATATCCTCGTATTAATGTCAAATATCGCCGATGACGATAAAAGAGGGTCCTGAAATGCAATGTTCCAAACACTTCATGAATGTATGTATCCCATTTCCTTAAAAGAAATATCATGTAAAAGACTATGGAAGCACTTACCTGATCAATTTTACTTCGAAAAATACGTTTCAAGATCCTGTTAAAGTGTTTGCTTTGGTGAATCTTCCCAATTTCGTCGTGCAGTTTTTCTAGCAAACCGGCATATGTAATTCCAGAATGTTCTCTGATTATTTTTGTTAAAAGATAGGTCATAACACCGTTCATCTGTTTTCCTCCAAAAGCCTGCGGAAATTCGTCAAAACTCAAGAAAAGAAATGAACAACAAATATGTCTATTGCATTGCAAAAACAGATCAAAACTCTTACCGCAGTATCGGCAGCTATCTGATAATCTTCACAAGCACTGATGCAAATAGCCATTCCACCATTTGTAGATTTAGTAACAGATTGCGTGTTATTGGGACAGTTATCCATCCATTTCCAATTTCCACTGCAAGCATATATGCATACAATCATTAGTTAGCTTTCAATATCCGGCCCTACGATCGACCAATTCGGGGAACCAATTCCAGTGTCCACTAGCGAAGATCCAATTGAAAGCTCTGTATGGATTGACCTAACACAAAAATTGTTAACCCCAACAGGATTCGAATCTGAGATCTTAACAGGAGCAGGTTCTTAGGTCACAAACCTTCATCAGCAAACTAACCCCCGGGGCTAAAGTCGTCTGGTTTCTATTCAACGGTTTAGATGATAAACATAAAATCAAAGGGAAGAAAATATGTACTTACATGACTTTTTTATAGACATACATGAGATCAAGAGTAGTTCCGCTGTGACAAGCATCAATAAAAGCATGAAGTTTAACACCTCTTTTGAGAGGTCCAACAATGGTAGAGTTGATTTCATCATCAGTGATCATTCCTGATCTAATAAAATCAACAGGGCAAATAGTTTCGTCTAGTCCATCAATTTCATCTTCTTTATCATGTGCCGGTTGTTGCATACCATGTCCAGAGAAGTAGAACACCAATGAGTCTCCTAATTTGCAGTCTTTCACCAACCATTTTAACGATTCCATTATATTCTTCCTTGTCGGAGTGAAATTAGGATCCTTCTGTTCTTCTGCAATTCACAAAATTTGTCAGTGTGATTCATAGTTTACTGATAAGTGGTGAGGTCGTGCATGAAAATAAAATCGTATCATAGTAAAAGTTTGTATAGCAGATACCTGTGAGGACGCGTATGGATTGAATTGGGAATGCAAAATTATCAACCAGTAGAGATTTCATGTTAACAACATCATTAATGGTTCCCTCAAGCCTATATCGACTTCTTCTGCTGTAAGAAACTCCACATAGAACCGCGCGTTTGTTGCCGATTATAGTTGTGGAAAACGAAGACGATGAATAACCTGATCCAATTCTGCTAGCATGGTCTAGTTTCTTCTGGTTGACTAATTTGGCGCCTAAACTGTTTTCTCTTGATAGAATTCGGCTAGCACGGTCTAGTTGCTTCTGGAAGACTAATTTGGCTCCTGAACTGTTTTCTCTCGATTTACTAACACCTTTGCATTGGTAGCAACGGTACGTAGTTGTTTTTGTTGGTACTACAAACTCTTGTTTACAACCATTGCAGGAAAGTTTCTTTTCCATCAAATGCTTTGAACTAAAGAAGTTATGGTAACTTGTAGATGAAGCAACACTGTTTTTGCTTTGTTTGGCTTTTGATCTATCATTCATTGTTTGGTGAGACTTATATATGCAACCAGCATGTGCATCAAGAATATATATATATATATAGAAGCTTTCAAAACAAACGTTTCATTGAGTTTGAGGTGTCATCAGCTCCAACGTAAAAAAAACAAACATTATTTCTGATGTATCTGTACAGCTATCAACCAAGCTGGTATTCGGAAACGCATTTACTTTTGATGAGTTGAAAATTGTGAAGTTTACATAAACAAAGTTAAGAATTTTTTTTTTTTTGTATTATTAAAATAATGTCAAAGTGGAATCCAATACCTCAATGGGAGAAGGGGTTTATTTATAATTAAATAAGAAGAATATTTGTGTTAAAGAGATATGTAGTATATATGCTTTTATTCATTATTCACACATTAAATAATCAAGAACGAGATGCTCTTAAATTTGGTATATGTTCTTTTTATTTTATTATTTTTTAATTAATTAGTGGCAAAACTCATGGTTGGAAAAGAAAATCATAAACTCGAACACGCTAGAATATATTAAATGCTAAATTTTTTTCATGTTGATATATTTTTCTGACTTTAGTGCACATGTGGTTTTTGATTAGATTTAGTGAAAATAATAACCTAATTCTTGAAATGTTTTAAAATGTTTAAATGTAAATAATTTTAAACATATAAATATTGCTCCTCTAGAACTACAATTAGGTATAAATTTAGAAATGATAATGGATAGAGTTTAAGCAGGATACTATAGTACACATCTCAATATTTACGAATTTAAAAAAATTCTCGTACTTGATATTTATTTAGGCGCCAAAATTAGCACTCGTACCCGTGTCCTACGGACATGTAAGTACTCATACATATTACATGCATTTTTATTAAAAATAAATCGATCAATTATAAAATATCATATCATATCATTTTATATTTTTTAAAACATTAAAAAAAATTTAAAAAAATTATTATTGAAATAAACAAATACTTATATTATATAAGTAATGATTTAATATTGATATACTTTTAAAATTGATAGACATATATTTTTATTTAAATTAAAATTTATAAATATATATTATGCGGATATGATAAACTATGTATGTTATGTAGCTAGACTTATCTGTTTCCTTCAATTAAATTGCCTATTCAACTTTTTACAACTGAATGTAAATGTTGTGGTACGAAACTCAATAAATTAATTACTTTTTTACTTTTCAACTCTTTTTTTATTAGTAAAAAATAATCCAAACTTTTATTCTCTATCTTTTCAGCTTCTTTCTTTTTGAAAAGTGTTACTCTATATCTTCTCCTCCTTTTTCTCCATCCGAGTATAACCAGTTGTTTGATGTAGCGGAGAAATTGCTTGCTATTTCATTGGCGCAACTGCACCCTCCTTCTCGCGCGGTGGTTGGCCGCCCCTGCTGAACTGCCCCCAAATAGCAATGATCACGATTGATAAATCTAATTATACTTTTTTCATCTAAATTTTAGTGAAAAGATAAAAGTAATAATAAGGTGGAAGAAACGGTGGTGAAGGACGCTGGCTAAATGAGCTTTCATGTGACCACCCAATGCTTTGCTAATGGTAAATGATCTTGAGAGATAGAAAGATATATATATATATATATATATATATATATATATATATATATATATATATATATATATATATATATATATATATATATATATATGTAGTCAGTTCTCTTTTATGAATGTATTTCACCAAAATAGGACATGTGTCCTTTTCTGAATTTGAGATGGCCATCGTAAAACACTTTAAGGTTGCTCCCTCCCAAATTCATCTAGGGTCCTAGACTTACATGAAGGTGTTCTAGTTTTGGCATGAGCACAAATCTTGAAATTCTTTCCTATTCTTCCCTCCCGGTGTTTTTTTGACTTATTATAAGTCGTGAGCACAAATCTTGAAATTCTTCTCTATTCTTCCCTCCAGGTGGTAACATTCATGATCAAGGGCTTATTTCCTTTTTCACCTGAATTATGCTTGGTTTTTTACTTATAAAAACTTCCATTTTTATTAAATAAATAAAATTAATTTAAAAAAAAAAACAACCTTAACTACTCTCCATTTGTTTTATCTTTTAATTAAAAAACTAATTATCATCTCTCAGTTTCAATTACAAGATACTCTAAAATAATTAGTAAGCTCTTCTAATAAAATACATGTCATTAGTAGGCACTTTTTTATTTGGCAATCACTACCAATGTGCTATTTAAACTGTCACTATATTCTTTGCCTTGTTCGTGTTTTCGCTTTGATGTATGCATGTAGCTAGCTATGGAATACACTCACTAAACACTACTAATTGTGTAATGGAGTTCAATTGAAAGACCTTAACACAATTAAAACATTGATACAAACTGAAAAAAACAATACTACATGATAAAATTGGTTCCCTTGCGAATAAAAAGGATGGTGGATGATGATAATAATAATAATAATAATACAACATACAGCAAGTCAAGCAGAAATTAGTTGATACCAAGCTACGATAAATCTATGCAGACACCATAATTGAGCACTCTATCAACCCTGTAAGCTGGATTTTCTCTTCTAGATTAACTCGTGCTACTGATTTTCAGCTGCCAAAGTTTAAAGCAAAATAAAATATTAAAGTTGAGATCACGCTGAATATGATATCCAAAATGCATGCAGTTTATCAAAGGTCGCCAATTCAGATACTGGTACATATTTCGAGATATTGAAATCTCGTAACAATACACTCTAGCTAAAACAAAGTAGTCGCTACAACGTCTTTCAGTTAGGAAGACAAGATAATAGTTACAGACAAGATAACAGAAACCATTTTTATCAATTCATCAATTTATAGAGAATGAACAATTACCAGTCTAAAGATGGCCAGCATGTGGTGAACCGCTGTCCAGCATATTGATTTGACCAGATATTTTTGCCTTGCAAACTGGACACATGAATCCAACAGAATCTGATTGTATTTCAGAATTAACAGCATCATGGTTAAACTCTATTCCACACCATACACATGCGGTTGTGAGTAGATTATTGTCATCCACATTTAACATAACTTCTTGTGATGCAGACTGAGCTGAGGATGCACATGTCCCTTGCACCACTAGGTGATTTGCTAATTCAGCTGACACGTCAAGAGAGCCTTGAACACTTGCAAAATCGTACTCGAGAGAACCTATATCTTCTAACTTCAATTCCTGGAACCCCTGTCAATGAGCAATAACAAGAATAATTTTTCAGGGTAACATCAGAAATACCAATCAGTTAAGTGCATCATGGGTGGGTATAACTTTGTAGCTGCATACAAGAAATTGATGTCCACGTTTGCTAGATTCCAATAATCATAACTTAAGCAAGGAGTCAAATGAAGATATAATAAACTATCAAATAAGAAACGTATACGACATGTTTGTTCCAAGTACACAAGCACATAGTTTTTCAACATTAAAAAAGTACAGACACATAATCATAATCTAGCAGCTAGCACTATTCAAACCTCCAAGACACTGAATTCAAGAGTAGGAAAAATGTGCAAGGTTGATGACCAAGTAAGATACCATCACCATGAAAGCATTTTTAATCTCTATATAAATAAAGAGGGACAACACCTACAATTTCTTCATCGCCACAAAAACAAGCATGCCCAAATAAAGAGATTTTTTCTTTCTAAAATATTATATTTTGAAAGCATTCAAGAAGAGCTTTAATCGTTGGTTCAACAAAGGCTTTGTAAATAATGAAAATTTACAGCAACAAACCAATATAAAATAAAATCTGAATACATTAGAAACAGACGGAGGTAAGCACAGTAGACCACAGGACATACATAGAGGGCTTTGAATTAACCACTTTCTAAGATGACCCGGATATATTACATGCAGGAACAATCCTTCTATTATGCAACATATATGAAACCCTGGCAAGCATAAGTTATGCATTATACCTTGTCTGAGCTGAATGCAGAAAAAGAATACAAAGATTGTTCTGGGGATATAGAGGTGTTAGAAACCCTAGATTGGACCACATTTTCTTTAGAAGTTGAAATTGCTGTCACTTGAACATTAGCAACACCAGGTGCATCTTTGCAGCCATCTAAACCAATTTTCAAGTTACTCTTGTTACTATTGTCTTCATCAAGTTTAAGATCCCCTTGGGTATTGGTGCAACCAGAATTTTCACTCTTCTCAGGTTTCATGTGATTACCAGATGAAGGAAACAGCAGGCTTTGAGAAACTCCTTGCAGATTAATCCCAGAATGATCAAACCCCTCAACAGTCAGCGGAACATCACCTTTTCCTGTAGAAGTATCAGGTGCATCCACATTTTTCTTATTTACAGATAATAAGCCCATGTTATCTTGAAAACTAAACATCTTTGCATCAATAACTTGGTTATTGTAGTCAATCTTCTCTACTGCTCCATCCATGGGTAAAGGAGGACTACCTTGCTGGTTTGAATTGTGAACTACATTTGTGCCAATCAAGCTCTCTTCCATTTGTTGTTCATTAATCGAAGACTCAATGTTTATGTTTTCATCTAAGTCACCGACCGCAATTTCTGAAAGAGGGATTGTATTTAGTTTAGAAGAACAATCTGGTTCCATGACGGAATCCTCCAAAATAGAGTTTTGAGCAATCTCAACGAGGGCATCCATCTTAGAGATCCTAGAGGGCATCTCATCCGTGACTGGAGATTTGTCTGCGCTCATGACATTAGGCTGACTCGGCAAATTTTCAACTCTCCTCACATAATTCCTAACATGTATCCCAACATGACTATTGTAGCGACGCCTTTCCAAAAATACTTTATGACAGAACTGGCACTCAAATTTCCCATCTTTAATTATAACTCCATCTGAAACAGATGCACCAACTCGATACCGTTTTGTTGTCCTTTGATGAATAGACAACAGGTGCTGCAAATACGCATCCTTCTCATCAAAGGTCATGCTGCACTTGTGACATTCAAACAAATCATGTATTTGCACATCTGCAAGGTTCTCCGTCTCCAACAAGGACACTTCTTTCAATCGTTCATTAGAGATAGACAAAGCAGAAACATCTGAGTTAGTGGCAACAATCTGCCGTTGATCCTGCTCCTCGCGAGCAACACCTGCAGACTGCAACACAACCCATCAGCCTCCAGAATAATATCACAAAAAGATCAACACCAGCGGGGTTGCTTACATTATCAGTAGTAACTCTCTGTTCCTGAAGTATGTTTTCACTCTTGTGACTGATTTGTAACTGTAAATCAGAGTGGCCAAAGCGAGACTGCAAATAGGAAGAAACTTCTTTGCAAGACACAAACTGCTGTCCACTAGGGCTGGAGAATATCAAACAAGAGAAGAAATAAGGTCCAAAAGCGAAACTAAAACAAACAAACACAAGCAGACACATTAAGGGTGTGTTTTGATCGACTTATTTGGCCTTACCTATTGACTACTCCATAAGCAGAAGCAGCCATGAGTTTCATTGAAAGAGCTTAAGGAAACCGCTTATGATATGTTCATAAGTTGTTTTCAACTTATTTCTATAAAGTCTCCAAAATAGCTTATAAAAACAATTTATACTATATATAAAAACATTTTGATTTCATTTTATCTTTTGTTATAGAAATAGCTTATACATAAGCACTCATATGATGATTGATTATGCTATAAGTGCTTAATTTATTAAACTATTTATCCAAACAAGGCTTACACCGGAGGAAGAGTCCTCACTCATTACACATTGGCACATTAATGTTTTTTAAAACTGCCATACAAAAAGGGTGGCGGCGCAGTTTGTTGCCTGTTTGCCTTCCATTTCTCGATAAACTTTATTGACTCAGTCAACAAATCACATTACTCGTAAATACATGTGAATTTTGCAATATTGTGATGCAAATGATATAAATGTATTATCAGATCCTAAGGTTGAAGAAAACAAAATAATGGATTAAACCTTATATATCTGCGGCAATAGATCCAAGCACGGCCATCTTTTCTCTTCAAACTAAGAAGCAGCTTCCAATCAAGAGGCAACACGTCTCCAAAATCCGCAGCATCAACGATCCTCCTCTTCCTCCTCCTGCTCCCCCATTGACCAACCAAATCACTCAAAAACCCTAACAACTCTTCCTCACTGTTCATCCCCTCCGTCCGTCTCGCCAGCTCCGCCGCAAACGGATGCTCCACATTAAACAACGCAGCAAGATCAATAGCAACGCCATTCTTGTTCAGAATCCCCATCCCTCTCTCATCCAAATGCATCTTCAGTTTAGGTTTCCTCCCTCTCTTCCTCTTCCTCACTTCACCGGTAAACATAACCGGCGGCGAAGGAACTGCCGGCGGAAGAAGCTCCACCATGTCGAACTTCGGATCCTCTCTGATAAACTGCTTGAGGTAATCGACGATGATGCGGTGGTCGGAGGGGAGAGCGGGAGTAGGAAGAAGCGGCGCAACGCGACATAGACGGCGAGGTCGGGAGTAGGTTTGACGGTGGGAACCGGCGCTGTGGTTGAAGGTGGAGGGATCGATTTTGGGAGTGATGATATCGCGCGTGGATTTGAGGTCGAAAGCGGAGAGTGAAGAGAGAGAAAGCGCGTGAAGTTCAGAATGTGAGAGAGTGGTTGAATCAATGGAAGATAACCACTCCATCTTCACCGTTGATTCTTCTTCCTCCTTCATCTTCTGAAAATTGAAAATGCTTCTTCTTCTTCAACTCAGCACAGTTTTTAGCAGAAACTATTTTTATTTTATTTTTTACAGAATATTTAGCATAAATTCTTCTTTTTGTTTTTCTCATTTTACTTTTACTTTGACTGGTGTTTTTCTTCTTGTTTTCTGTTTTAGTAACGAGGTTAATTGCCATGTTATTTTTTCATTTTATATAATTAATTTAAAATTTATAATTTGATGTGCGAGATATGTGAAAATAATTGGTTATAAGGTTAAGAGTGTAAAATTACTGTCTATATCAATTAAATTCTTTAGTGATTGTTTTAGTGATTGTTTTTGTTTTTCAATTTTATGGATTTTGGAATAAAATAAAAATGGAATTTAAGAATTGAGAATACTTTTTTTTGGTTTAATTAATTTTAGGTTCATTTAATTACTTTAAGAATTTCATTTTATAGAACGTTTCATTTTTTATATTTTAAATTTTATATTAAAATTAATTTTTTTGGTTTAATTAATTTTAAGTTCATTTATTACTTTAAGAATTTTTTAATAAATCCTTAATTTAAAAAATACTTTATAATTAGATGACTAAATACTTATATATTTTAAACTTTGTACTTATACTTTTTAAACTTTGTATGGTTGTGTGTAATACTACGTTTTAAATGTCCATTTAACATATATATATATATATATATATATATATATATATATATATATATATATATATATATATATATATATATATATATATATATATATATATATATATATAATTTGGTGATTAGTGATCTCCATCTTATTGATTCTATTAAATTTAAAGTTAAGTTTTCTTCCATCATATTTTTTAATAATGGCAGCTTTTGAAGTTACTCGTTCCGCCATTCAACGACAAGGTGTTATAGTCGTTGAAGCAGTTAGGATCCCTCTATCGGTTAAGTCTTAACAATTGTTTATTTTGTTCCTTCGTCTTCGATTTTGTCCAATTTATGGTAGATCAAGGAACTTTTCAACTTTCTTTATTCCTCATATCTACTTCACAATTTATCTGAGTTACGAAACATCAGTTTCAAAAACTCCAAAAAAAACCCCAATTTTTTATGGAGATCATATATTCGAATTTTACATTCTCATTTCCAACAACACACAATATCAAAATTATTCACCATCACAAAATTCATGCAAACATACATTCTTAATAGCATCATCACACAAATTACATGGTTCATAACATAGAGAAGAAAATGGAATAAAAAAGATACCAATTCACCCACCTACATACTATCATACAATCTCTTATACAATAGTAAGTTCCACTCTTACATTAGATAAAAAATTCCAAAACTTGTCTAATGGAGATTCTTCTTCTCTTATGCCCTAACTCTCTCTTCTCTTTCTCTCCCTTTTTCACGTTCTCACGGTTCTGTTCCTAATTCCTTCTTTTTCTTTATTTTATTCTTTTATTATTTCTAATTAAAACCTTATTCCAATAAAATAAAATAAATATTATTTCCACTAAATAAAAATAAATATTTATTTTACTATATCCTTATAACAATAATAATTAAAATAATTATTTAATTGTCATTATCACTATTATTTTATTTAAATAGTCCTAATTAAATAATAGTAACAATTGATACTTCTCCCACCACCCTTATGTCCTCACACTTTTGCTCACACATCCTCAACACCTTAAATCTTAATCTTTAAGGCTACCACCCTACACTCAAGGGTTCCTCTAAACTATCAAATCATTCAAACAACACATACAATCACACAATTATTTACGAAAATTAATTAAATAACTTGAGATGTTACAACTCTCCCCCATTTATAATATTTGCGTCCTAAAAAATTTACCTTATGCGGACAATTCTGGATACGACTCTCGCATCCCACTCTCCAATTCTCACGTCATGTTTCCTCTGGCAGCGCCTCCCCAAACTACCTTCACGAGAGCAATCTTTTTGTCTCTCAACCTTTTCAATTCACGACATTCGATTCTCACATGTAAAGCTTCAACTATAAGATTATCCCTTACTTGTACATCATCCATCGGAATCACATAAAAAAAATCTGAAATATACTTTCGAAGTTGTGAGACATGAAATACATCATGCAAATTCGAAATATTAGGTGGCAACGCCACTCTATAAGCAACCACTTCAATCCTCTCAGAAATCTGATATGGACCGAAAAAATCGAGGAGTAAGCTTTCTCGATCTCAAAGCACGTTCGACATCGGTCACCGGAGTGATCCTCAAGAATACATGGTCTCCTTCTTTAAACTTCAGATCCTTCCTTATCTTATCATATTAACTCTTTTTTCTATTATGCAAAACTTTCATCTTTTCTTGAATTAACTTCACCTTTTTAGTAATTTGTTGGACTGACCCAAGCACTACATTTTCACCAGATTCATGCCAAAATAAAGGTGTCATACACCTCCAACCATACAATGCCTCAAAGGGTGTCATTCCAATGCTAGAATAGAAACTATTGTTATAAGTGAACTCTATCATTGTCAAATGATTATCCCAAGCACCTATTTGCTCAAGGACACAAGCTCTCAACAAATCCTCCAAGGACTGAATAGTTCTTTCTGTCTAACCATCTGTTTGTGGATGATAGGCAAAACTCAACCTCATCTTAGAACTCAAAGCTTCCTACAAACTCTTCCAAAATTTGGATGTAAACCTCGAGTCTCTATCAGAAATAATACTCAACGGAACTCCGTGGAGCTTTACAATTACTTGTATGTATATCTCTTCCAACTTCTGCAAAGAAAAACTGATGTTAATGAGAATACAATACATTGATTTCGTCAATCTATAAACTGCCACCCAAATCGCGTCATGCCCTCTATGAGTATTCGGTAATCCCGTCATAAAGTCCATCGAAGTGTTATCCAATTTCCACTCTAGAATGTCTAACAGTTGCATCAATCTTGCAGGCTTCCGGTGTTGAACCTTTGACTTTTGGCAAGTCAAACACGTATACACAAACTGCGCCATATCACGCTTCTGTCCAGGCCACCAAAAGATCTTTTTCAGATTCTGGTACATCTTAGTAGCTCCTGGGTGGATACTCAAGCTACTTTTATGACCTTCTTCTAAAATCATGTTCTTTAACTCTGAATTATCAGGTACACAGATCCTACCTCGGAATTTCAATGCACCATGTTCATCCACTTTAAAATCACCCAAAAACAGAACAGGGCAAGCTGCTCTAATGCCAATTGAAACTCTGGCACGTAGATATCAGATGTCGGGACAAATGTTACAACACTAGGATCAAAAGAGCTCGATCACACAAGTACAAATGCAGAATCTTAAATGACATAAAAGTAAAAAATAACACCAGTAATTGTTAACTCAGTTCAGTGCAACTCACCTACATCTGAGGGCTATCAAACCAAGAAGGAAATCCTTTATGATAATATTAGTTCAAAGCTAAACTCCCTCGTTTACAACTTCTCGCCTAATCACTACCTTGTGCAACTTCTACCTAGAAACTCTCTAGATATGAGATTCCCCTCTGACTTCCTAATCAATCATAATCTCAGTGACAATACAACAACTACCCAAAATAGAAGTATCAACCCTTCCAAGTACAATACTTGATTTTGCTTAAAAGTTTCAACCAAAAATAGTACATTTTTGCTTAAAAGCTTTAGAGTGAAAAATCAACAATGAACAATCAGTCAACTCAATGCAACAAACCTGATACAAGAGTGGCATACAAGCAAAAACACGCTAAACCCTAAAAACCTACCAAGACACGACCAATCCTTATGCTTCAAACTTCACGTGATATCCAAGCAATAATAGGGTTAGGTCTTCTCTTTAAATAACCTTGTGTCCACTTGGAATTGGGCTTCTTGAGGCGCAAAACCACCAGGAACCACCTTTAAAATGAAGCATAATCTCCTGCACAATAATAGAAACAAAATACAAAGTTTCCTAAAAAAGATCCAGCCTTTTTAAGAAAACTAACATAATCTGTCAAAACAAAAATTCGCACAATATACTCCCATGAAAAAGCAAATGTGTGAATCAGAACACACTCAAAAATCACACTAAAATTACCAAAATAGTCATGCCCTAACTTTCAGGTATAACATATGACACATGTCACAACATCATACTGAACATGATGTCTGACTGTCATGGCAGAACATCTCCAAAAGACACACAACTTACCATCCTAACCTAATTGACCACTTAAAGTTTCAATTATTTCATAATTATTAAAATTGGGTTGATAAATAGTAAATGGACTTTACTATATAAAAGTAATTGTGTCATTTTACAAGAACCAATGTATCATCTAAGACACATTATTAGTTAATTACGGTTAATCAATTGTCACTTTATTTAAATAAAGATCGAGCCAAAAGGACATATGTGAAATTACACTAATTCAAGTGGAGAGCAAAATTGTTATTTTACTATAAAGAATATTTTAGTCATTTTGCAAAGAACATATGATATTTATAATATAGTTAAAATTAATATAGGCTTAATAAGATAAAGAAGAATTTAATGCATTAAAAAACATATTTAGTGATCAAAAGACCAATTAGAAATTATGTTAATAAGAAAGAGTATTTTGGTCTTTACGTTTGAGGATATATATTTCATTTTAAAGCCAGAATTCAGAATTAGAGTAGAAAAAATACACATTTTTGATAGCAATATATCTAAGAATTTTTATTCGTTACTAATTATTTCTCAAACACAAATAGACACAATATCTCACATCTTCAGAACAAAACTTGCAAGAACAACCAAACTCACACATACAGAGTTACACTCAAATAGCACAATTTAAGTTGTGCTACAAGATTTGGTCTGTGTCCATTGCTTACTTAATTATATATTTTACACTATCATTTCTAATCCAAGGGCAAAGTAATAACTCTTTTTCTTTAAATTGTGAATGAAGAAGGCAGAGATTGAGTTGAGTTAAGCCTTCTCTTGCGCAGTCTCTCTGCGATAGCA